GAAAGCCACCCAACAATAAAATTAGAAACCACTCTTGGTTCTAGGAAGTACTGCTATTTCTCTTGTGTTCTTTCCTTGACCTATCCACACATTTTACATTTTTAGTTTTCATGTGCTATCATCTATCAAAAACAAGTAATGGCAGTTAAAAGGATACAACATGCCAGATGCTGAGAATACCAAGATGGCAGCCTAAATATGTCTTCTTTTCCATAAAGCCATGTGGAACTCCAAAGTGGGCCACGTCACCATAGTGAAGTAACTGCTACTCTGTTAAATCATCAGAAGAAAGCAAGCCAATGGTCTACAGCTTCAGTCTTGCACAGGGCTCACTGTTACCACCCTTTAAATCTCACCTACCAATGGTGTCACAGTAGGTGGGCACTCGGCCAGTTCCGCTCAAATCCCAGGTGACTTCAGAATAGGATATGGCATCTTAGGCCATTTGGACTGTTAGATCCCTTCTGTATTAATCACTATGGGGAAAAGAGATATTCCCTATGACTGAGGTCCAAAAATCCTTAGTATCTCCAATGACCATAAGGAAGAATTGGCAAGGACTAAGAAACATGTCCTTGGCCACAGAACAGTGTCAATAACTAAGCACAGAACTCTACAATAAACTATATGTCTGAATTTCTGTCAACAAAATGAAATGTGAAGAAGAAAATACTGTAACTCAAAGTGCCTAGTGTAGAACAATATAGAATATACAACCAAAAAAATCCTTATTTCTATCCACATCTCTCCTGTTAAATGACAGATTGGATGACTAGAAGATTGCTACAGTCTTTTCCAGCTCTAACAATTAAGATCATAAGGTGGGTCTGAAGATCAGGAACATTCACCCAATGATAGGGTTTAATTCTGATTTACAAAGTGGGAAGAATAAGTGTGTTGCTGATGTTACCCTAGATTAAACACAATAAAAAGGACCTTCAGAAATCTTCTCATTGGTACTTTGGCATACCTGCAACAGTCTCGCCTTCCTGTATTGCTGTCTCTTTCTCACTCTATATACACTTCACATCTTGCCTCTTGCTCTCTCTGCTTCTCTCCACACAAAGGTATACAAAATCAGAAGTGTGTGCAAACCAGTGAGCACGAGAAACACACTGGGATGGGGTGGGCCCAAGGTCTACCTTGTCCTGTAATAGATTTCAGCTGCAGTGCACAGTGCACTGCCTAAACAGTGCTCCCTTGAAAACAGTTGTGGGGTGAGAACAAGCAGCCAAGAGCGCCAGTGATAAAATGATCTGAGTTGCCCTAAAAGGAGTAGTACACAGCAGGGGCTGATCCAGGGAAATGAAGTCCCTTCTGCTCTGATGCAGAGGAGGGAATGCAAGTGACCTGGCCCAACTGAGAGATCTCTTCCACCCCAACAGATCCTGTACTATTAATATCTGCCAGCTGCAGGCCCAGAGCATCCCCCTGCTGAGATCAAAAGAGCCCCTATCTTAGCTGGAACAAGGTCATCCGCACAGGGCTGTAAAAAGCGAGCCCTGGCTGGCTGCAGGGACGTCTATGGGGGAGGAGAAGTCAGGAGATGGGAGGTGCTCTCTCACGCTCCTTTAATCTCGGCTGACCAGCTGTTGCCCTCCCAGTGTTTGTAAAGTTGAGAGTTCTTTGTTTTTGTGTTGCTGGGTCTCCCTGCCCCCACCCTTATTAAATGTGTGGCTGAGTTGTTGGCTTGGATTAAGTAGACTCATGTTCACTGCTTGACATCATGATATAATTCCCTTCATTGAGGTTTCATTCCACTGTTGAGTTATCCAGCTCCCAGGTGAGAGAGTTGAAGAAGGGAGAAGTACACCCCAAAGGCCAAGGACTTTCCTGGCACTGCTCCTGCCCTGAGCTTTGTGCCTTGAGAAGGAATGAGAGGACACACTGAATTTTCTCTATTTACTTAAAATACTTCCTCATATGTGCAGTGTGCTTGTCAGTCTGCAGCCTGCCTTTCACAAACTATTCCATTCACAAATTACTGGGAGAATGGAACTTTCGGGACTTATGCAAATTGACCAGAGTTACAAAGTCACCCCATCCCAATGTGTTTCTCATTCTCACTGGTTTGCACACACTTCTGATTTTGTATGCCTTTGTGTGGAGGGAGGCAGACAGAACAAGAGACAGACAGGTAAGACCAGAAGCGTACACAGAGTGAGAAAGAAAACACACATGGAGGGAAGGCTGCTACATGGTATGCCAAAGTATCAGCGCTAAGATTTCGGAAAGATCCTTTTGATTGTGTTAATCTAGGGCAACATCAGCAACACGGCCAATCTTCCTACTCTGTAAATCAGAATTAAAACCCCATCAGTGGGTGAATGCTCCTGACCTTCAGACCTGCCTCATGATCTTATACGTTAGAGCTGGAAAAAAATTTAGCACTCTTCTATTCGTCCAACCTGTCATGTAACAGAAGAAACTGAGACCCAAGTGATCAAAAGGCCTGCCCAATACCACAGTTAATAACTCAGTGGCAAAGCTGATACAATGAATGCTTGAAACAAAACAGAGCAATTTATATATGTGTGTGCACATGTGTGTGTGTGTGTGTGTGTGTGTAAATCATAGGAACTTAACAACCGTTGTAATATATTTGAATGGGTATAAATGTTCTAAGACATTGTCCATTTTAATCCACTAATAAAAACCTTCATTATAGACATTAGGAATATATTTCCATAGCCTCTTTATCTGCTCAGCTATACAAAAAAGAAAAAATCTAGAAAAACCAATTGTTTCCATTCCTCCTTGGATTTCTGGGAGGATAAGCTGGTAACTCCTCCTTTGCTGTGAACACAATGTCAGGAGTTTCTCGTGGCAGTTATACTGCAGCCTCAAAGTAATTTCTTTTCTATGTGATTTGCTCTTCTTCTTTGCTTAAGATAAACCAGGAAAGCAACACAAAGAAAAGTACTTACTGGTTTTCAAGTAAGGAAGAAGTTTATTCTGGTCTCCTCCTCAGAGCTGAATAAATGTGTGTGTGTGTGTGTGTGTGTGTGTGTGTAATAATTATAACAATTTTTAACAATGTTCATAGGTACTTTATATGATTCTCATGATCACTGTTCTTCCCAAGTATTTACTGTGATATTCATTTGGTATTTTTTTACTGCCTAGTATGTGCTTAGAATTTTGCTAGTCACTGGATAACAACATGGATACAAAATAATATGACATGGTTGTATCTTTAAAATCTGCCAATTAGGCAGAAAAACATGAAAAGTTAAATTAATTTTCTTTTCTTTATATAGTTGAGCAGATAGCGCGGCCACAGAGGAAAAACAGAGAGTGAGACCACAGGCAAGGAGGTTCCGTGAAAGAGGCAGTCTTTAAATAAGCCTCGAAGGAGTGGATGTGGGATGAGAAGAGGCAGTGGAAGTGAAAAAGGGAAGTGCTGTTCTGGAGAGGGAGAGCTGTCTATGCACAGGCATGGACCTGGGAGTGGGGAGGGGCAGGCAAAGAGCAGCACGCTTGGTATAGGAGCTTCACCTAAGATATTGGCAGGAACTAAATCTGAATAGAAAGGAAATGACAGATTATGAAGGGTTAAAAGCATTAACTTTATCTAGTGGTGTTTTGGAAACCAGTCTACCCAAAGGAGAAAAAAACAAAACCAAACAAAAACACCTGATTTTTAGCATTTGCTGATTTCCATGGTATAAATACTTTTACCATGGGTGATTTCAAGCTAACAAACCCCAAATCCCTAAATATTTTAAAAACAGCTTACTGATTTTAGCTCATTCTCAGGGAAAAAAAAAATTCAAAGATTTCTGAGTAGGAGAGCAACATAGTAGAACGATGCCAGATGGGGAAGTTCAATTTGGTCGTGGCAGAATGGAAATGGTAGAGGCTACATTGGGAAGGTCAATCTGGGTGTTATTAAAATAAGCCAGTTGGGAGTTTAGTAAACCAGCTGATCACAACACACATTACAAAAAAGAGGGGACCAAGGAAAGATATACATGGAAAGAAGGACTAAGCAGATTTGATGACAAAAGTTTCAGGAAGGAGGAATACTTGATGATTCAGGTTTTCAGCCCCGTTGATGGGGGTTATGATGACGTATCCTTGAATTTAGAAGGAGGGTACACAACATGTTGTATAGTCTTCATAAATAAGCCATCAGTTTTCACTCCTAAAGTCACCACTAAGAGGCAGAGGTGTGGTTCTTGCAATTTCTAAGACCATCAAGCAAAGTTGATGGGCAGAAGACTACCTGGGCAGTCAGTCAGGAGCCTTGCTAGGCCTAAAAGTCTCCTGTATTCCATCATGAACAATTCTCAGAAAGTGGAAAGGGAGGAGGGGTCTGGAAGAGCTATGCCCATCTACCCAGGCCTGCAGAATTCTGCATGAAAGATACTAGAGTATAAGGAGAACAACTCAGAAATGTCAAGTAAGCACTTTCAATAAAGCTAGAAACCACCCTCTGGTTTACAGATGTTATTTCCCCAGCTACAAAAAGCTTATTGCCATCGAAACCATAGACAGTCTGACCTTTGCTAGCAGGGGGTGGAGAAAATTTTGCAGATTTACCAACGTGGAGATTTTTTTCTTAATCTTCTGTAAAGCTGATCAGGAATGTCATATCTCTGGCACATGAAACTGATGTACACTTTTTAGTCCAAAGGAGCTCAGCACAAAGAAAAGGCTAAATTGCTATGGGATCACTGGTAAAGCCAACCTTTGAGCATCAGTCTCAAAAACAAAATCATTTAACAATTCATCAGCCCTTATTCTGAGGACCTGAAATAGCCCACAGAGGAGTGATCGGCCTCCAACTGGATCTCATTTATAGAGGCAGGGCAAGAGACTCCCCAAGTATAAGATCAGATGCCAGGAAAGGTGGCCAAACCTAAATCAACAGGCTCTGGTTGGGTTCACTGGCCAGGGCCTATTAGCCATATCTCCCAGCTCTCAACAGGAGGTGGGGAAGCAGTGGGGCTGTATGTCAGTGTCAAGTTTCAGCCTCTCTAGGACGGATTCCTTACCTTCAGACAGGGACAAATCATCAGCTGGAGACACCAGGTCTGCCTGAGAAGCCAGGGCTCCACTCAGATGGGTTGTAATCTGATTCGTCAAGATAACCTGTGAACAGACAGGGAGAAGGGAGGGGTAAGGGAGAATAAAGACAGAAAAGACCAAATTAATTATTAGAACTATCAAAAGGTAGACTGTGGTTTAGGAGAAGACTGATAAACACAGAGGTAGGAAAACCCCAGCTCTGACTTTCACCAGCTTTATCTTTAGGCCAGAATACCTGGCAAGGCCTAGCAGTTATTCAAAACCCAGAAAACTGAGGAAATAGAATGACTTTTTTCAGAGTAAGGCCTCTATCAATTCATTCTAAATGCTGTGTAAGTTGGGACTGAGGCGTGTTATCATATCAGTTAAATAATAGACAGCTAACCACAATTAAATTCACATGTACACATTTTATCAGACTTTAATTTTTAAAATTATATCTGCCAGGTCCGGTGGCTCATGCCTGTAATCCTAGCACTTAGGGAGGCTGAGGTGGGCAGATCACCTGAGGTGGGGAGTTCGAGACCAGCCTGACCAACATGGAGAAACCTCGTCTCTACTAAAAATACAAAATTAGCTGAGTGTGGTGGTACATGCCTGTAATCCCAGCTACTTGAAAGGCTGAGGCAGGAGAATCGCTTGAACCCAGGAGGTGGAGGTTGCGGTGAGACAGGATCGCACCATTGCATTCCAGCCTGGGCAACAAGAGCAAAACTCTGTCTCAAAAAAAAAAAAAAAAGAAAAAGAAAGTCAGGGTTTTATTTCCAAATTTGTGAAATAGGAATGAGTTTGACTCTAAAGAAATAACACTCCTCGGCCGGGCGCGGTGGCTCACGCCTGTAATCCCAGCACCTTGGGAGGCCGAGGCGGGTGGATCATGAGGTCAAGAGATCGAGACCATCCTGGTCAACATGGTGAAACCCTGTCTCTACTAAAAATACAAAAATTAGCTGGGCATGGTGGCGCACGCCTGTAGTCCCAGCTACTCGGGAGGCTGAGGCAGGAGAATTGCCTGAACCCAGGAGGTGGAGGTTGTGGTGAGCCAAGATCGTGCCATTGCACTCCAGCCTGGGGAACAAGAGCGAAACTCCGTCTAAAAAAAAAAAAAAAAAAAAGAAATAACACTCCTCTTTTAAATAGTTGAATTCTAACAAAAGAAGTTCAAAGTCTCACTATGTATTTAAGGCACAAATTAACATAATCCTACCTATACAAAAAAAAAGTTCATAACATTTAAAATTCCTGGAAAGGACTTTAAAATAACCTAATTAATGTGATCCAATGCCACACAATATTTTCAAATTGGGTATAGTCAAGAAACTATTCCTAAAAAATCCTCATTTGTAAAATCTACCTTATTGTTTAGAAGCCTAGAAGAAAAATAAATACAGATTCTTTTCTGGAAAATTGTAACATAACGAATACCACAATCATTTTCCAAGGTTTAGATGTTCTCATCATGGGAAGAAACTATGAGCATCTTGGTCACTCAGAGGCAGTGTCCCTTCTGAAAAGGGCACTGGGCATTTAGTACACAATTCAGTGCTTGAAATATTTGTCTAGCTGGGCTGTGCTGGTCTGAACCAAGGGTCAGCTATGGTTGTTGCCACCCTGATTTGAACAGAAATGGAAATCACCTCCATTCTTTATTATCCAGCTTTTCAGTCACACCTCTGTCACTGTATCCTGAATGGACCAGTGACACATTATAAATCCTGTATCAATGGCAGCTTAATTGAGGGCTGAGAGGGAGCAGGACAGCAAGGTCAGGTAAAGAAATGAAGTACTCGAATAGCAAAGACAACCTTTTAAGGTCCGCGTGCCCACTGGGCTTGTGAGCCTCCAGTCACTCTACAGTAATAATCAGGTATTGCAGGATTCCACTCAGTATTTGCTAATCTTATCTCTCATATTCTTTTTTAATTGCTACTTTCCATCAACCGGTGAGAATCACCTATGTCTTCAATTAAAATGGCTGGAAACTATATGAGTATAAATAAGGACTTGTGTTCATTTCTCACTCTGTCTCTCTCTCTCTTTTTTGGAGACAGGGTCTCACTCTGTTGCCCAGGCTGGAGTGTAATGGCACAATCTTGGCTCACTGCAACTTCCACCTCCTGGGTTCAAGTGATTCTCCTGCCTCAGCCTCCCAAGTAGCCGGGACTAAGGCCTATGCCATCATACCTAGCTAATTTTGTATTTTTGGTAGACATGGGATTTCATCATGTTGGCCAGGCTGGTCTTAAACTCCTGACCTCAAGTGATCCACCCGCCTTGGCCTCCCAAAGTGCTGAGCTTACAGGTATGAGCCACCATGCCTGGCCATTTCTCTTTTATAATATAGGGTGAGAGCTTTGGAGTTCAGTAAAACTGGGTTCAAATTTTGATTCTGACCCTGTGTAGTTTTGAGCTTCATTTGTTTATAGGTCAAATAATATCTATCTTATATAATTTTTATGAGAATTAAATGAGATAATCAATGTAAGGTACTTAAAGTATCTGGCACATAGTAAATATTCAATAAATAGAAGCAACTGCTATTATTTCCTTCAGAATGAGGATATACAAGTTAATAAATTAGTATATGTCATAGGCTCCAGACAGTTGGTTCTAACAATAGAACACTAAATCACAATTTTCTATATCAGGATACACTTTGGTACCAGATCATTTGTACCTATTTTAGTCCTTCCTAAGTTTGATTTTAAAAATTTTTTTATTTTTTATCTTTATCTTTTTTCTTTTTTTTTTAAAGACGGGGTTTCACCAAGTTGGTCAGGCTGGTCTTGAACTCCTGACCTCAAGTGATCCGCCCACCTTGGCCTCCAAAGTGCTTGGATTACAGGCGTGAGCCACCACGCCCGGCCCTAAGTTTGATTTAACTGCAAAGAATTTGTGTGAAAATCTTAGTAAGAAAAATATAGTCATTATTTAAATCAAGGCCAATAAGATACTGACATTGCTCTGAAAAATACTATGCGCTTTACCTACCAATGAACTGAATAATATATTTGTCTATCTTTGTAAAAAAAAAATGTGGAACTTCTGAGAGATCTAAATATGTCAGCTCTAATATTTTTGTGATTCTTAAATGATGGCTTGGTGAAAATGACTGGGACTCCAATGTCATGATTAATAGTAATGAGAAAAAATTTCTTTCTTAATACCTACCATGTAAAGCATGTCACCATATACATGGGGGAAATCAAGACATAAAGGTACTGTATGTCTCTAGAAACTCTCAAATTCAATGATGAGGCATTGACTAAAATATTTAGATCACTTTTTCTCAATTCACTGGTTCTGTACTTGTACTGAGATGATGGTTTTATTGTATAGAACTAATGAAATGATACCCTACGGAACATAAAACTGAACTACAGATGTACTTCAAAAGATACCCAGCATAATTTCCACTTCTGGTGAAACAGTAGATGGGGAAGAAGATATTTTCACTCCCCAATGTCAAAAGAACAAGCTCCTAACTGATTTTGCTAATAATCCTCTTCCTTTTAATTATGAGTCTTAAAGCCAAATCGCCAAAGGGATACATAGCAACCAAACTCAGGGCTTTGCTAATCATGCCATCTTATGGAATTGTTGTGGCTTTCTAAATATTTTCAGCAAAAAGGAGAGAATGAAAACATTTCCCAAAACAATGATTACAATCATCACAACTTGGGCAGAAGACTATAGGTATATTTTCCTCTGAGGCAATCAGGAGACTTGAAAACTCTACTCTTAAAATAACATATGAAATACTATTACAAATTATAAACAGAGTCTTACCACGATCTGGTTTCTAAAAGTGAATTCTAACAGACACTTCAGGGGGTTTTCCTGCTGCTTTGCTCCATGGGAAAGACTGAGACTTCTGATGCTCAGCACTAAATTTGTGTAAGAGCAATTTGCACAGTGTTTAGGACAAGGGCTTTGGAATCAGACCTGAACTTAGATCCTGGGTTCTACCATTTACTAGCTGTGTGATATGGGGCAAGCTTCATAATCTCTCTGGGTATGATAATACTTAGCTCACATGGTTCTGAGAATTCAGCTGGATAATGCATAGAAAGTCCTTAGCACAGTACCTGGCCTATGGCAAATGTTACTCTATCATTGCCATTAGTTATCCTTTGCTGATTTATACCTTGCTTGTTTAGATATGAAACCCATGCCTGATTCCATTTTATATAGCATATAGCCCACTGCTGACAAACAACAAACATTTGTTGTCAATATGTTCAAAAACAATACAAATTTAATTGAAAGTACATATGCTATTTTTGCTATTTCCCTAAAATACGGCTTATTGAAAACATACAACACACCCCCAACTACACACTAGCAACTACATGCAAGACTAGAGTGGGATTTTTGGACAAAGGAAAAGATACATATTTTTAATGGTCATGATTAGGTCTGAAGCCAGGAATAGACAGAATCCAACTTAATCAGCTTCTCTTGAGGAAGAATACCATCCACCTACTAGAAGGAACAAGAAACCCTAAAAGTTATATAAAGTAACTTCTGTCTCAACTCAACTTTATGTATGAGAGACTGCTTACTCCTAAGCTTCTTTGCATTGCCCTCTTCAACATCGGTTGCTTACAGAGGTGTACGTGTATATGAAATGGCCTTTCATATAGTGTCACATAGACCTTGAGTCCCATTTTTAATATTTTCCCACAAGGGAAGATGGGGAGAGATTTCTCCCTTAAAAGCTATGCCCCCAGGTTTCCAGTTTTCCTCTGCATTATGTAGCTTCTCTAAAGGCATCTTTTTTTTTTTTTTTTTTTTTTTNTGAGACAGAGTTTCACTCATGTTACCCAGGCTGGAGTGCAATGGTGCGATCTCGGCTCACCGCAGTCTCTGCCTCCTGGGTTCAGGCAATTCTCCTGCCTCAGCCTCCTGAGTAACTGGGATTACAGGCATGCGCCACCATGCCCAGCTAATTTTTTTGTATTTTTAGTAGAGATGGGGTTTCACCATGTTGACCAGGATGGTCTCGATCTTTTGACCTGGTGATCCACCCGCCTTGGCCTCCCAAAGTGCTGGGATTACAG